CCCAAGTTACAGTTGGACCGGAACTTGGAATCATGCAAGTTGTATAACATGATGAATGAGAACTTTGAAGTATTGGAATATTAAGACTAACTACTTATTCAGATGGATGTGTGAGTCAAGTAATGGACTAAGGGATCGAGTACATAGTCATGTGCACTGATTAAGTCCACCACAAAAGATTGATAAGACTATTCGTCATAGTTTACTAAAGCTCAGTAAATATGATTATACTTACAAGCTTAAGTGTAACTCTGAGACATTGGAAAAGGTTTCAATGCATGGCAGAGCGAATAAGAAGAATCAAATTAGGCAGAATGATAAAAGTTTCTCAAATCTGAAAAGATGGGAGAGTACTTTAGTATCAGCTTTGTGATCATCTTAATGATTAAGAAAACATATCAAAATTAGTTCTCCAAGGAAGTCTTAGTGCATTCTTATGACTAAGAAGAAGGGATCTTGAATTGTTGAAATGGTTAAATCAAGAAGATGAGTCATACTTCGTTCCAATACAAGTCTTAGAGTCATACTCCAAGATTGTAATTTGAGTGACATGTCTTTAAGAAGGTTTAAAACACGTGTCAAATGTAAGAGTAAAAGTGTCTTACTCTTGTTCATTTGAAGTTGGTAAGTTGTGATGTTTTGGATAAAACAAAGACCAACTTAGGCCAACTGTGTGAAGCGTTTGTCTTGATAAAGAATCCGCACTATCCCTTGAATATTTGACAAGAGAGTCTTATATGTCAAGAGGACATTGGGAGTCTTAAAGGTCTTGAAAGTCTCAAGAACTAATCAAGAATGAAACCTGAATTTCCTTACTAGCACACAACTTGAGGTTTATAACCTATCGTGTTGACATATTCTGTGCCCATTCCAGTTAAAGTTGGCTTTGCATATGAGTTCTTAGAGTTCTCAATATGTTGCACAACAACTTGGAAGCAATGGCAGGCCCTTGAGCTGCCAGGTGGTAAGAAATTAAGATTGAGTTCAATCCATATGAGTTTGGATTTGTCATTATCCTTGTCTTGTGACTATGGTTTTAACAATTCACATGGATAAGAACACATACACCATTAAATCTAAGTATCATAAGGTTTCTCTCCGATTCATGAAAATGATGGTGAGGAAACACTTTCACTAAGTAGATTTTAGTTAGATAGAAATTGTGATATTTGCATTCTCAAAGTCGTTAGTGAAGCGTGTGTGGTTTACCGGCACACTAACCTGGACTTGTGAGAAGTGGCAAAAAAAAGGTCTCACTACAAGAAAAAGACCCTTTTACGACGCGCAAACAATGACACTCACTGATTTATGTTACGCAAAAGAGAGTAATATTAAAAAAGTATCGTCTCTTCAAAAAATTTAAGGATTTATGTCACGCATTATTGCGTGCCCTTAAATTAGTGTCTAAACGATAAAAAAGAAAAACACGGAGGGCACCTATAATAAAATGTGTATCGTCTAAAGATGTCGCTTTATAAATTTTAATGGAACGCCCGTTCCATAAGGGGGAAAATGAAATCCTAAAAAATTAAAAACCCCGCATCTTTTTCTTATTTCCCTCTTGTCGAGATCATCAACGCACCTTCCTTTCCCTCTTGTCTCTCTCGGTCGCTACCTAGGGTTTTTATTGAAAGCTTGAATCGATCGACTGAGTTAACCAAAGGTCAAGCGAACCGGGAAAGGGTTTTCATTGAAATCTAGTGTTACTCTTTGAAATCGAATCCAATCCTACCTTCGCCCCATCCTTCTTGTCTCTATCAGTTGCTACCTAGCGTTTTTCGTGAAAGCTTGAATCAGTTGACTAGGGTAACTAAAGGGTAAGTGAACCGGGAAAGGGAAGCAATAAATCCAACACTCACTCTCAAATCGATTCTACTGGACAAGGTTTCAATTTGGGGCTCTCTAAATTCTTATCGATTCTACTTTCATTCAAGCTTACATCAATTTTTTTGGTATATAGTAACCGAAGCTTACATTCTCATCGATTCCACTTTCTCTCTCTGAATGAAAATATCTCATATTCTCTAAAAGCCCTAAACCAGCCACCGCCGACTATCACCTCCACCATTGTTGACGTCGTCCTACTTCCCAGATGGTATGTGTGTGTGCGCGGCAAGACTGAACAGAAAATGCGAAAGAAAAGAAAAAATGAGCAGAAAGAGAGAGAAGAGAGTTTAAGGCCGAGAGGAGGATGCATCGGAGCTGTGGTACTGCTTTTAACGTCTTTTCAAAATACATTAACCTTATTATGGGCTTGAAGGAAAAGATGATCGTTTCCTCTGTTTTGCAGTTCTATATGGTATGGGGTCGCCCTGATATGGCTTAGAGAAGTGTACGTCATCTCTGAAGATCACAATCATCCATACCTTATTTTGAATTTCGCTCTCTCTTTCTCTCTCTCTCTCTCTCTCTCTCTATCTCTATCTCTCTAAACATTTTCTCTCTTCATTCTTTCTAAAACCCTAGCCTATCATCATCGCAGAGGAATTTTCGTGTTGTTTTCCACCATCTGTGTTGGATGAGACCAATTTTCACTTGACCAAGCTTTGAATTGGAAAAAAAATAGTTGTGGTCAAACTTGGTTGTTGGTTCCATTGAAAAGATTAAGTCAGAGGTTGTCCGAAAAGTTGGCGAAAAAGGAGCAGGAGCTGAGAAGTTGCTTCCTGTTATTCTGGATTCTGTCCATTTTAAAGGTGGAACATTATTGTTGCTTGCATATGGGGACAATGAGCCCAAGTAAATCTGAAGATGTGCTTTCTATTTACCAAAAGTAGTATATATTCACAGACTAGATCACTCTCTATAACGTAGCCAAATATGGGATTTCTATTTACCATTGGAAACATAAACATACACTTGAAAGCAAATTTGTAGCTCTTGTTTATCATCTGGATTCGACGGAGTAATCTTGTAGGGAGTTGTTGACTTTTGGTTTTCCTTTTACAGGATTATTTGAATATTAAATTCAAGGAAACAGGACATAGCAACATGTATTATCCACAGGTAACTATTAAGTTATTGTCTTTTTGTTGATGATTGAATGCACTGAACTAAATAATGGATGTTACTTGCAGATTATTACAAATTTCTCATTTCAATTAAGAAGTTTACTTTCTTACCCTTTACTTTTTTTTCCTTTCTTATTTTTTTATTATGTAGAAAAGCGTAAAATCACTTGCATCTGGAATATCAGAGTCTGAAGAATTAAGGCAAACTTCCTGGCAAAAAACCTTCCAAGTGAGTCAATGTCAGTCAATATGAAGTACATTCAAGAGGTACAAAACCCTAAACCTTGTCTCCTTTTCAAATCTTATTTGATATTTTACTTCCTTACCCTTTGTATGGTTTGTGGAGAGTCAAATTGAGAGTTACAAAGTATCTTTAGCTATGGGCTGTAGACAATCTGAAGAGTAGGAATGGTTGCCATAGTGTTGATCTCATTTATCTTGACTTAATGACTCAAAGGTTCCTACTGAAAACTTGTTCGATGTTTGAAAAAAAATATAGTTTTTCTTCTATTTGAGTTAATTATTTTTATATATTTATTTATTTATTTATGTGATTTACAGGTTAAAACTAAATGCTGGTCTTGTCCCGAGTTTTTCCATTTCATATGAATTGAATGATGTAAATATTAATAAGGTAAAACGGTTGTATTTATATATTTGCAAAGGAACATTCAACCATGAAGTTTTTATTGTTTATATAACTTGCATTATTTACATCTTATTTTTTTCATGTAGATTTTTAAAGACGTGGAAGCTTGCACTGCATTTAGATTTGTATTTAATGGTGGAGCAACATAGAAGCATGTTGGTGGGACAAACTTGGCAAAAGAAATTCAAGTAACCATCTTCATACTGGAAACAAAATGAATTTTCATATAAATTTATTATATAATATGTGAATTCAATGGATAGTTTTAGCTCTACTTCTAATTTGTATTTTTGTATAATTTTAGAAAGAGGAAGTAGCCTTATCAAGGGCCACTTTCTAGTGGTTGCTGGGGCTACCCTTTATGATGTTAACAATGTTAATTACTGAGGTAATCTTCTTGTCTTTTAACATTTTTGGTCAAAGGGAAATTTTGTCATTTAGCTTAATGGATCACTTTTGAGTTATGCACGAGTTCTTTGTGAAAACTGCTAATAGAATTGAACTCATGGCTATGTTGGGTTATTTGGTGCTATTATTAGTGATGAAGATTGAGACAATATTTTTTTGAAATAAAGAATTTAAAAATAAATAAATAAATAAAACTTACAGATCAGAACAAATAAAATCAGATTTACATCTTTGATGCAAAAAGATGAATAGAAACTAATTAATCAAAAGGTGGGTTTTGGTTAGCAACAATAATTGTTATTTTCCCTTTGTTTTTGTCAGATGTTTCCAAGAGGACGCACGTATCGTTACCCGGGTCGCAATGCACCGGATTCAAATCTCAAGGGTGGCATGTTTCCTCGGTATGAAGGTGCAGCAATGGGCCAGCCAATGCCAATTACAGCTTTGGCTTCTTCCCTTGCTAATGCCCCTCCTGAACAGCAAAGGACAGTATGTATGTTATTTTACATTTTCTTAATTATTCGGACTAAAGTTGCAATTTTGTGTAAAGCATAGGGACCAAATATGGAACTTACTCTAATAATTAAATCAGGGTGTTAACATATGATATGTTTTTTAAATGAATGGACAGATGTTGGGTAAGAGTTTGTATCCACTGGTGGATCAGTTGGAACCTGAGAATGCTGCTAAAGTAACAGGAATGCTTTTGGAGATGGACCAAACAGAAGTGTTACATTTGCTGGAGTCACCAGATGCTTTGAAAGCAAAGGTGTTTGAGGCAATGGATGTGTTGAGGAATGTGAACAACACCACCAACACCATTATTTATATATATCATTTAATAAATCTTTTACACATTTGAATTGAAGTTATTAAATAATAGATATTGTGTATTTTGTTGTCTGCAGTATGATGACACGGAGAAATGAAGAGAGATGGCTAAAAACTCTTTAGAAAGATACACTCATTATTATGAAAGATGGGCTACAAACCAATTCGTAAGCTTACATTATTATTGTTATAACTTATAATATCGTTTCTATTTATATAAAAAAACTCTTGACTTTTATACGATGTTTTATAATTTATAAGTTTTAACAGGATAATTATTGTTTTCTGTTCTGCAGTCTAGACAAAAGGCCCTGGCAGATCTTCAGCAAATGCAAAGCACACATGTATGCCATTTTTTTATATATTTTATACGTCTTCTAGTTTTTTTATTAAATCTGTAACAAATAGATTTAATTTTTGTTTTTGTAGCTTGAGAAGCTGAGTGACAAGCAGTGCCAGCCTGAATCACAACTAAAGTTCATCACAGAGGCCTGACTACAGGTGCACATTTTTTATTAATTGGTGACATGTTCAGGATGATAACATATTTGTTGCGCTTAATTTATGGATTGATAACATTAAAAAAATCACATCTCATAGTATTTTCAAAGTAATGAAAAAGATGAAGACGCTTCAGAGGCTGGAAATGAACTTGTAAGTATCTAATCTACTGGTTTCTTGATCCTTGTAACTTTTTATTCAAACTTTTTACTGATTCTTTTGGAGTTGATTGTAGGTAGGAGTTGTCTCTGATCAGAATTTATTGGAACTTCTGGAGTTAGCAATGTCATCAAACACAACTGAAACTATGAAAAGAGCCAAAGAACTGATGGAATTGGGAGTTTACCATATGGTCCTCATGTCGCAAACGGCTACACTTATTATGGACATTGTTGCTGGAACATATCAAGTAATTGAAGCTAGTGCTGACTCATTGTTTGATGGTAGAAGGTGTAAGTTCTTCTCAACTTTTTACTTTATTATTATATTTTGATTATTATTATATTTTGATTACTATAAACTGAAACTATGGATACGTTGCTAGGTAACCTTCTCAACAACAACATTCTACTTAAGAAGGTGAGTAATCAAGATTAAGGGAGACTTGTAATCATGTTTGACATTCCTTTCCAGTAAGAAACAAAGTTGTATGATTATTTGTTAGTTTTATAGAAATGTATAACCCATGTTAGCAATGTATTATTTTTGTTTAACATTTGAATGATTCTTTGTATGACATTACAATTTGTGCAATTTATTTTATTTTTTGAGTATGAAATTTTATTTTATATTATGCAATGGATTGTATTTTTTGTATATGGTATTTTATTTCTATTATGAGAAATTAAATGCAAATTAATTTAAAAATTAATAAATATATAAATTTTTTTTTAACATTTAAATTTACGATACGCAAAAATGTGTGTCATCTTCATTTATGACATGGCCTTTCTTGATACGCATTGCGTGTCATTAACACGCGCGTCGTAAGGTTACAACACGCGAATGCGTGTCATCTTCCTTTATGACAGGGCCTTCCTTGATACGCATTGCGTGTCGTAAATGCGCGTCGTAAATGAGCGTCGTAAATGCGCGTCGTCTATAGACGACGAGCAAAAGCGCGTCATCTCTCTTTATGACAGGGCCTTCCTTGACACGCATTTGCACGTCGTCTGAGCCTTTTACGTCGCACAATGAGCATCGTAAAAGGCTGTTTTTCTAGTAGTGTCTAACTATTATGATTACGGCATCCCTCTTCATAATTGTTTAGAAACACAAGTGTGCTATCTAAGGGAAGGTATATGATTTTGATAAAGTTCTATCAAAACAATCCAGTATCGGAAATCTGAACTTTGGTAAGAAAGTCAATAAAGTATTGATTTCTAGAAGTCCAGTTGATTTCTGAGTACATGTCAAAGCTAGTGGGAGCATAAGTGTTATGCTAATGATCATCATGCTAGTGGGAGCATGATAATTATGATAAGTATTGCAAGCTAGCAATGTTAATTATAGAAAACAAAAGATTTCAATTGGGAAAAGTTGTTTTGCTATAATTAAGGGAGAGGAAATTATACTTCATCTCAAATCTATAAGCTTAGATCGTGAGGTTTTAATCATTTAGTCAAGAAAATATATATGAATTTCATGTTGGAATGGCTCAACATAAGGAAATTCTGTATATGGGTCCATTATTTGCGTTCTTCAATTCGATTATGATTACGGCATCCCTTTTCATAATCTGAATTATGAGAACTTGGCAAATAGAAATGGAAATGTTATAGCAAAAGACTGGTTTAGTCTTTATGTGAGACATCATGAATCGTGTCCCATATGCTTCGGATATAGGATCGATTACATGTGCTATATTCATCCTTTCTAAAAGTTTCCAAATGCCTGGGGCATTAAGAAGGGAAAAGGTTTAGAACTGGATATGACTAAAAGGATTAAACAATTGTCGAGGACAATCTAAGGTTTACCAAAGATTGGTTGCTCAAGGACAATTGGAAGTATAGTGATAATTCTGGAAGGACCATATTGACATAATCTGTAAGGAGGCAACTCTTGTTCAGAAGTGATAGTCAAAATGAATCTGGAAATGTTTCAAAGTTAGAATTTTCAATCTGTTTAAGATTAGGAAACTTAATGCAAGAAGGATGTTTCCAAGGAAACGATCTCCTTTGGAATATTTTGTAATGATTGTTGCCAAGTCTTTGTGAATTTGTGCATAATCATTACAAGAGGATCAATGCATATAAGTTTAGAATCTAACAGATTTCAGTAAATGACATGAATTTGGAATTCTTGCATTTGCAGTAAGGATTTAGGAGTGTGAAAAGAGAATCATTGAAGTTATGTTCAATTGATCTACTTCACAAAGTAAAGATCATAGAAAAACATAGTATGCATACTTGGTGTATGGCATGACTAGTGTTTAGAAAACATAGTGTACATGCTTGGAGCATGGGACAACTATTTTTTAAATTCAAGAATAAAGTTGATAGCTGAAACAGTATACAATGAATAATGTGTAATCATATGGTGATAAATAAAAGGTTTTTTATTTATGTTCATAGGTTTTGATACCATATTGGATTCAATTATTATTGTGTTTCACTTTGCATGTTTTGACTTCCCGAATAAACTAGGTTATTCTTCCGGAATGACTAAGTTATTCAAACCATCCACAGTCGGTCATATGTTGGAAGTAGATATGAATTAAGACTGTCATGGGTTGGCTTGTAGAGGTCTAAGGTGTTGGACAAAGGGCTACAACACTCATGAGTGCTCATAAGTTCTGAGTATTGGATTCAACCCGCGCTCATTGGAATCACTTCATGGATTTTATCACGAGTGATCATGAGACGATAATATCTTATATTCTTCAAACCTAGAGATATGAGTTGTTACTATGAGTTGATAGTACATTGATTGCACGAAACCGCATTTGGTAACTCGGTGTTATAAAACGTGCCTTTGTGTATGATTCAACAAGTAGTAGAACAAGCCATATGAGTCGAAGTTTATCCATTCCTTTTACCTTCGGGATAAAAGCGATATCTGTGGGCCCCTCGATGATTTGATGATGACAAATGGAAGTGCTCGGCCGGGCCAGGACTGATTTGATTTGTTCAATTAGTCAGTCGTCATAAATCGGAAATCGGGAAACAAAAATGGACAGAGAGAATGATTATAATCCATGTCTCAGTCCATATGATATCTAGAATGGAGGAATATATGATCCCTTATCTAATGGACAAGTCATTGACAAAGGTTAGAGTTCATCTACAAGGTCAAAGTTCGACAGAAGCTTTTGAGAGCTACGATTGCCAGTTGGTTCCTGAAGTCATACGCAATAATAGTTTTAGACTTATCCAAGTGGGAGACTGTTGGATTAATGTCTAAGTCCATAACTATAATTGGTAAGACTTGACCCGACCCGGCATGGTCCATTTGGGTTGCATGGCATCATGCACTTGGATAGACTATAATGAAGAAATAAGACACTTATGGTTATTAATATATTATAAGTTCTAGTATATTAATAATAAGAATAATAAGATTATTTAATTAGTATTGATCAAGAATTAATCTAGGATTAATTAAGTGATCAAAAGAAGACTAATTAAATATATGGGTTGATTGTGTATATCATTCATACTTGTATAGTGGGCTAATGCTCCATGGATAATCAAGTTGGGCTAAAACCCATATGATGCTCCATGGATGCTCCATGGTGTATTTGAACCCATGGATCCAAGGAAATGGAAAGTCATGACAATTAGAGTTTACCCTAATTGTAACACTATATAAAGATCTTATTCTTGACCAAAATCGGCCACTAGTGAGAGAAAGAAAAGGGCTAGCCGATTTTCATGAAGTGTAGAATTCTCTCAAGTTATTCCAAGTGTATTTGGTGTTGTGTGAACCATTTGAGGTGTCACACTTGGGGCACTAGGCACTCAAGCTTCATGAATACTTTCTACACCAAAGAGGTATGTATTCTATCTTGCTATAGTCATTGTTTTGTATGCTAGATTAGGATAATACCTTGGATGTTCTTATTTGCATTATAATAGAGAAAACATAGATCCAAGGTATTTAGGGTTGCATGTACACTTAGGAGTGTTAGAATGCTCATAACCCAACAACTTCCACTGGGGAATCTGTAAAGGCTGCAATGGATCATGAGGATAATGGTGCTCAGCCTTGACCCGACGGCAGGTCAGGCACCTCTCTACTACCCATGCTACATCCCTCTTCATACAGGGCCACCAATAGTCTCTCTTCAAATCCAAATACATCTTAGTGGCCCCAGGATGGATCGAAAATCTCGATCTATGCGCCTCCTCCATCACAATGCTACGAGCTCCGCCCGTATAAGGCACCCAAACCCGACCTCAAAAGGTCATAAGTCCCCAACTATCTGTCACAAACTCGGATACCTGCATAATCACCCGCTCGCTCTTGCAGTTCTCTGGTCTCACGGCCTCCACCTAGGCCTCTTGAATGGTATCCAACACCGGACTCATCACAGTCATCCTCATGCATAAATCTCGAATTTGTGTACTCTCCGCCTTTTGGCTCAAAGCATCAGCTACCACGTTAGCCTTGCCCGAATGGTATAGAATCTCACAATCATAATCTTTTACCACATCCAACCATCTCCTCTGGGGCATATTCAGGTTAGGCTGATCCATCGGATACTTCAAGCTCTTTTGGTCTATGTAAATGGTACACTGAACCCTGTACAAGTAATGGTGCCAAATCTTGAGGGCGAACACCACTGCCCCCAACTCTAAATCGTGGGTGGGATACCTCGCCTCATGAGGCTTCAGCTGCCTCGACACATATGTTATCACGTGCCCCCTCTGCATAAGCACCACACCTAACCCTGATATAGATGCATCACAATAAACCACGAAGTCCTCTATTCCCTCAGGAAGAGCTAACACTGGAGCTTCGCACAACCTCTGGCGAAGGGTGTCAAACGAGGTCTGCTGGTCGGGAACCTAAACTAAAGCAACACCCTTCCGGGTCAACTTGGTGAAAGGAACAACAATCTTGGAAAAATCTATGATAAACCTCCAGTAGTAGCCGACTAACCCCAGAAAACTCCTGATCTCGGTGGGGGATCTCGGAACCTCCTAACTCATAACCGCCTCAATTTTGGCTGGGTCAACCAAAATCCCATTCTGATGAACGAGGTGTCCCAAAAACTAGACCTCTCATAACCAGAATTCACACTTGGAGAATTTGGCATAAAGCCTCTCCAATCTCAATACCCCGAGAACCTCTCTCAAATGCTCCTCATGTTGCTCTCTAGACCTCGAATACACCAAAATATCGTCAATGAACACAATCACCGAACGATCCAACATAGGTCTGCATACCCGGTTCATGAGATCCATGAACGTTGATGGTGCATTGGTGAGCCCGAAAGGCATCACCACGAACTCGTAATGCCCATAACGAGTTCTAAATGTTGTCTTCGGAATATCTTCCTCGTGAACTCACTCTGATGATAGCCAGACCTCAAATCGATCTTGGAGAACCAAGATGTACCCTGCAATTGATCGAACGGATTGTTGATCCTCGGC